ACCTAGACCTCTCCTGTGGCATCCAGGGACCAACGGGTGGGTGAGTAGCCAGCCAGCTGCCATTGCTCAGTCCTGCTGCTTTTGCTGGCGGCTGGTAGACCCTCACTTGAAAATTATGCCCCCATCTAACACTAGGAGGTGAAATACAGGCTCATCTCAACACCTGGGCAATCCTTGACACGATGCCCACACTGACCCTAGAAGAACTGTCTGAAAACCCCGGGAGCCAGCGGAGACGTGGAGAAAACCTTCCCCTTCCACGTCAAGAGCATGACATCAGCCCACAACTTGTAAAGGGGGCGGAAAGCTGCGTGTCAGACAGCAGGCTGCCCTTGTAAAATGGGACCAGTTCAATGATTAGCTGCCCTGGAGTCCCTGGGCCAGTCCCTACCGGCTTCAATAGCACCCCTGCTAGCTATTATCTTGGAAGGACGCTCATTAAAGAAAATCACGTCCTTCTGCCAAGTTCTCGCGTCTCGCTATTTTTGGAATTACAGGGGCAGGCTCTGTGCCTCAGCAACTGTCAGCAGAGCCACATGGACAGCAAATCCATATAACGATTGGGCTAGCAGGGACAGTGCTGGAAACAGCATCGCCTGGGGGATGGTCCCCTGGAAGCACCCTGCGGTCATGAGAAAAGGGATAAGGGCAATAAACATAAAACCCAGAAGCTATTTGACACTATTTGCATGGGAAGCTGATCTACCCAAGCCCTTTTCATTCTCATGCATACGAGTGGAGACAAAAGGATTTAAAAGCAAACCACCTGCGCAGGAAGGATAGTTCCTAAACCCCAAAGAAGACAGGACCTACTTACTGCAAACTCATTTTAATTAAAACATTCCAGGATCCACTTTCCCCAGGATTGAATTACTGATTTAGCTATTTATACATATAGCCTTTTTCACCCATTCTAGGACAGTATTGTTGAGGTGTTGGATGACACCAGTGTCAGGTAAATGGAAATGAGCATTTTTTGGTGCTTGTGAACCCTAACACAGGATCCACAATTATCCACAGGTCGGCCCCAGCACCTGTCAGCAACTCACAGATTACTGCAGCAGGAGCATAATCCTCTCTGCCACTAAAGGATGATTCTAAGGCCCTAGAAAAAGCAGAGGTAAATGACTTAGGTGAGGTGGAAAGTTCCCAAACAAGGCTTTCAATTTAGAAAAAAAAAAAAAATTATAAAAACCAGGATGTGGTAAGCAAGGAAGACCTCACACAGATGCAGCTGGAGCAGGACTAAAACTGCCCCCCTGCACGAGCCAGGCAGGACTCCTTCCTTGCCTTTCACAGGAAAGGAATCTGGAGGTGCAAGTCCAAAATTACCGGGCGCTGGGCACGCAGAGGGCCACGTCCAGCCTCTGCCAGCCTGCTCTGCAGCTAAATATTTCCTCTTTAGGGTCTGAAAACCGTGACCCATACCAAGCAGAGACAACCCTTGCAGCTTCTACCACCTAGTGGCTGCAGTGTTTGTCTGTGACAGAGCAAGGAGGCTGGCTGGAGGTCAGGCAGCCTCAGCCCACCCTGGGCAAATAACGCAGCCTGTGCTAGCGGGTATCACTTATGCCGCAGCTGAGACTAAATTAGGACCACACTGAGCCTGGAGGCAGCACAAGAGAACAGAAAACCTTTCTGAAAACCATCAGCAGCTAATGTAAGCACAGAAAAACCTCAGCTAGCTCTAAAACAGGCAAGCAAAAGTAGCAGGAATATAGGTGAACTCGGGTAATGCACTGCTGTTTCTGGTACTTGTGCCAGCTCAGTTAATGCCAGATTACTGACACTACACAACATCGCACCGTGCAGCACAGACATGCCCCAGGCTGTCTAAGTTACCCCTAGGCTGCTGAAGTCAGGGGAAGAGTTTGCTGGTTTGGGTGGAATATTATACAAGAGTCAGAATTCAAACAGCTCTAGATCCAGCCAAACCCTCAAACCCTTTGAGCACTCTGCCCTCAAACTGCTGCAGCATTTCAGGCGCTTCCAAAGCCCTTCCTTTCCAGTTTCCACAATTTCCTCTTGAACTGGGGGGGGTGTGGGATGTGTGCATAACTGGACACCCCTACTCCAGGTGCAGCCTTACCAGTGCCAAGCAGAGGAGATAATCATTCCCCTGAGCTCCTGAAGCAGCCCAGTACATAATTTAACTTACGTGCAATGAGACTGCACCGCTGGCTCATACTGACCTTGGCACCTACCATAAGCCCCAGGTACTTTCCAGGCGGGCTACTACCCTGCCAGTTAGTCCCAGCCTGTCTTGATGCGTCTTATGGGATCAGGCTCCGACTTTGCTTTGACAAACGGTAAGAAGCCTCGAAATGGCTACTTCTTGAAAAATTCCTAAAGACAGGCCCAGTAGGTCATTATTTATCCAGGATCTCCATGGCAGACTGGAGTCATGTTTTGGTTTTTATAACGTGAACAGTTAATACAGCCCAAACTCTGAAAATGTGGTAAGTTTGATACATGTGATGTGGTTTCCACGTAATTCAAGTGAAACTAGGTATTGTTTTGTGTAACCCTGCATCCAACTCCAAACCTAAGTAACATTTTACAATATGGCTGCAGGCTGACATTTTGAATAAGTGGTTACTTTTTTATTTATTTATATATATATTTTATTATATGTCACATTTGTTAATGGACACGTTAATGTAAAGAACAAGCAGAAAGTACTCTATCAGCCTGGTTAAGCCCTCCTTGGAGGACTCTGTCCAATGAATACCCTGCTGGTGTAATCATTTCTCTACTATAGCAAAGGGATTTAATTATGCTTTTATAAGCAATTTAAATCTGGTTATTCTGGATTGAAGTGGGCGTCACTGAGTGCAGAACATGGGCAAAAGACGCGATGAACCACATTAGTCTGAAATCTACTTTTTCTTTTGTAAACACTTCTCTTTTTGGTTTAGTTTAGTATTGGAAGGAAGTTGTTTTCTGTTACTGACAATCCAGATAATGAAGCAAAGTGGGATTCAAGTAAAAGAGGAACCTGGGAAAGACTGGAAATAGCAGGGTCCTGCTATGACAAGCACCACTCCCTTGGCACCCTTTCAGAGACTGACCTCTGTGTTCAGGGCAGCGAGGGCTGAGGGGTTCTTCCCTCCACTCCTCTGACGAGAAGCTGGTCCAGAAATTCCTGTTCCAAGCTGCTCTACTGGTTAGCAACCTCCTTTTCAATTCCAGTCTAACTGTATCCATGGCCAGTCTAGACTCATTTAATCTTAGCCAATGTCTTGACAGCTTTCTTTCCCTCCTCACTGTTCGACATCTGCAGACATCTATCAGATCCTCTTTTTGCTTTCAATTTGCTAGTCTAAACAGGCTGAGTTCTCTTTTTTTTTCTCCTTTGCAAAAGACTCTGCAATTACTTCATCAACCCAGAAGACCGTATCTGCACCCATACCACATTGCATTCATATTTTGAACATGACAGACGGTACCAGCACAGTGACCTTAAATCTTCCCCAAGTTCCGGGGAAATACTCCACACTGCCCAGGAGCACACGTGCTATTTTCACATCTACGTTGCAATTCAGTAAGCAAAACCATAGCAAAGAGCATAGCAACGAGTGGCAAAAACCACTGCTATCTCTCATCTGACCTCAAACAGCATACACCAACGCTGGACTTTTCTGATACTTTACATGAGAACTTCAAGAAAGCCACTCAAATTTGGGCCCTGTGTCTTCATATTATGAAATAAAAGAGGAGTTTCCTTGGTTACTAGTGACAACAGTGAGCTTTTTGTTTCTGCTATATAGCACAGCTGCTCTGTGAACCATATAAGCTTTATATTGAAAAAAAACAACCCCAAACCACCTCATTTCTATTACGTGAGTCTACCCAAGGGCTCCACCCTAAATGAGCACAATTCTTAAACTCCATAGCTGGCTGTTGCATCACCCCAGTGAGAAGAGAAATGGGTGGGTGGCAGGATACATTTGGCTGCCCTTTTTTTTTTTTTTTTTTTTTTTTAGTATTTTGGGTTTGTGTAGGAGGAGTGAAGCCACAAGGCAAGTTTCTCCTGCCTTTTCTAAGAGGAAAACAAGCTCTGTTACCATCTAGCAACGGACAAAAAGCAACTGGAAAGGAGCCCGGGCAGTTTGGAAGAGCTACCCTGCAGAAAATGCTTTGGTCCTAGTAACAGCTCAGCTCGGGGACTGCTAAACTTACCTTGCTGGGACATGGCTGTGGCCACTGCCTCCATCACAGCCACTCTTCCCTCCATCACAGCCACTCCTCCCTCCATCACAGCCACTCCTCCCTCCACCACCCGCATCAGCAACAAGCTCCCACCCACATGCGTACACCAAAGGAGGCTCTAAGCTGGGCAGGCAGCACACGCACAGCTCTCCACTGAGGTATGCATACCATAAGTTACAGCAACGCTCCCATTTCTCTTATCTACACAAGACGAAATACCAACTGTATGTGGATCTGATTCAGCATCCACCCATGTCAGTAAGATCCTTTCCAGTAACCCCAGAAGGATCTTTCCATCAGTTCTGAGCAGTACCTGAAGGCTGGTAGAGACAGGAGGCTATCCCTGCTTCTAAGTACAATTCATTGAGTTTGCAGATAATTCAATGCAAACACAGTCCTGTTAAAATTCAGGCAGCAAGGCAGCAGCGCCTGAGATTCCACAGCAACTGTAGGACACTGCAGGTCTGTAGACATCTGCACATATGCATTTAGAAACATTCAATGGCATGGAGATGTTTCTAGGGAAGATACAAAGAAACCCTTCCCTGCTATTACCATTTTGTTAGGGAGCTTAGAACAAGCCAGGATTTTGTTTGCCAAATGCCCAGTAGATATTAGAGATGAAATATAGCAGAGTGCTCTGTTCACTCTTGAGCTGAGAGGTTTCTCCTGGTTCTAACGAGGACATTTCTAACAAGCCAGGGACTACATGCACAGGAGAACTCATCTGTCCTGAACATGCCAGCCAGTGTCAGGAGGAAGCCTATCTGCTGCTGGGCTATACTTACAGGAGTCTGGAAGCAACAGTAGAGCTTGGTGAGGAATGGGTGGTTCCTTGCTAAGGAAAGGATGCGTTTCTCAGTCATGGTACATTCAACATCGTCATCTTGGAGAATGACGTCCTTCTTCAACACCTTCACTGCATAGAGCTGCCCACTCTCTTTCATCTTGGCAAGCATCACCTAAACCAAAGGGGAGGGTGAATCGCAAGGGCTGAGCCCTCAGTCTCCATGAGCAACACAGAGGTTCTCACACCTTCTCACACTAGAAAGGTCAGTTATCTCATGACCAGGCTTGTGGACGCAAGTGAGTCAACGTGTTGGTATGGGCATCGGTGTACAATCGATGACACACACACAACTGTCTGCAGCCGACTTCTCCGGATAGCAATGCCCAAACATGTTGCTCCAATGTCTGGCGTGGGGCTGGGTGGTTGAAGCTCATCCACTGTGCCAGGACAAACCCCCTGAACAGTGCCATCTACCCAACTTTCCTCCTCAGTCATCAAATTCAAATGCACCCTTTTGCATTGGCTTTGTGGCACAGCACAGAAACGAAACTCCCATCTCACCGCATTTGAAACCACTGCCGTGTTTCCTTTAAAGGAAAAGTCTTTATGTGCTCCAAGAAATGCTGCCCAAATGAGTGCTAATGCACACACTTGCAATTTCTGGTATGGGCCCTGGCATGCAGCTGTTCCTTTGGTTGCTAACGTTTTTCTTTTTTGTGATATCCAATTCTTTGCTTTGCTGTCAGCTTGCTTTCTCTTGCCTTTGCTCCCTGCTTTCTGTAACCAACCTTGCTGCACAAAGCTTACTCCACTGGACAGCCTGTGCGCCCGATTATGAATAACTTCATCTACCTTGGAGCTTCTTAAATAGGCAATGTGGTTTTCCCCAAAAGGGCCAGGAATAACTCTCACCTTTCCAAAACTGCCCTTTCCCAATACACGAAGGAAGGTTAAGTCTTTGATCCCAAGTTTGCTCGCTGAACTTTCACTAACGTTGTTGCCATCTTTCAGGCTGCCTTTTCCCTGATGTCTCAAAGTAGATCTTGAAACCAGTTTCTGCAGAGGAAAGTAAACAAGTATCAGTCTGCACAGAAATTGTATTTTTGCCTCAGAGGTGTAAACAAGTAGTCAACCTACCAACCTGGGCATTTAGGACCTGTTCAGATGCACTGTGGGGCCACTGGAACAGAAACCATGTTGGTACCACCGCCCTGTATAGCTGCTACATGTAATTGACCAACCTCAGCGCTGCACAGAGATGTGTTAAGATGTCGACTGGTTCCTGACACAGGTGTTTTCAGTTGTTGCCCAGCAGAACCAAGAGGCAAGCCTGCCTCTCTCCCTTCTCACTCCCCAGAAAAATAAGACAATGAGTGTGGAAATCCAAATCCCAATCTAACATCAGAGCAAGGAGGACTGCCTAATTTCTGCGAAGTGCTGATGAGATGTAGAATCCAAGCAGATTTCATCTGAATCTCTTGGGTTTCTACCTGATTTTAACATTCTTACTGAAAGCTCGGTTCAGTGGGACCCAAACTTCAAAATATTTTTCTTTCCCACAGCTGGGCTGCTGGCTTTCTCCACTGCTGTAAATTTGATGGAAGTCACGTGCCAGCAGTGAGGTGTCTGCATTTGCAGGAATTGTACCAGTATTGGCACAGATTTCTAGAGCTCCTGTTCTTTGCAGTATATGAAGATCAAGTCAACCTCCAGTGCCCTCTGTCTCCAGCTCTCCGGATATGAGTACTCATACTTTATTCAGTTAATTAGCCTGAACAGAGTCACACGGACTTCTTGAGCTCCACCTTGTGACTACTTTGGTGTAAAGCAAAATTCTTCCTGCACAGAAGACTTGTCTCACTCCCACAGAAACGGCAACCCCAAGCATGGCGAAAGAACCAAGAGCGTTCAGGACAGCACCCAGCAAAATCCCCAATAGATTTAAGCTTACAGCACAGTCTGAACACTCACCTAGAGCTTTCAGCTCGCAAATAACAAGAAGAAATTTGTTAAACACCAAGCACAGATGTTTATTTTCCTGGTTTCATCTCCTTTTGATGTGCAGATTACATAAACAGCAAATGCTAACAAGTGCTGATTTTTACAGAACTGAGAAGGGAGTGTGGGACTTGTGTTTCCCTGTAACTCCCAGGGTAACTGTCACCCTGACCTGCTACAGCATGAAGAGTGAAAATAAAATAGTCTGCTACGAACCAGTTGAAATCAAAAGGGACAGCACAGCCCAATGAGCATGCTAGGCTGATACAGCATGGTATGGTTCACTGATGTGGCTGGCTAACTGTGACAAGATTTATCATGTCTGGCAATTATGTTTTGGGTTTAAATATTTTCTTTTTGCTCAAATAAAAATAGACCAACATTTTATTGTGGGTTATTGTGGTCTCAAGCAAACTCACTTTTTAAAACTGCTCACAAAGGAAACATGATGAAAACTGACTTGTTATCAAATGACAGCTCTGATTTCCATTACCGTCTATGGGCATTTTCACTCAAGTTCTTACAGTGTGTTTCAAACTCTCCAAATAGATTCAGATATACAACAGCTGGATTTTTAGGATGTCTTAAATACCAACCAGCAGAAATTGTACACACATGTTCCAGCTCTGGCAACAATCTCACTTGGACCTGGTCTCGGACAGCAAAGACCAAAGATGTTGTGTTGACAGGGACTGTTGATTTTAGCTGGGGAAACTAGTGAAAAGTAAAATGGTTTCCCAAAAAGTCACTCAAAAAACAGTGACAAAGCTGGGAAGAGAACCTAGGCTACTTGCTGAGCATTCTTTTGCTCTTTCAGAACCCACACATGCAGACAGAACATTTGTGCTTGCAGTAAAAGTAAAAAAAAGGTATGGCATGAACTATATTGACCACTAATTAGTTAGGGGTCTTATTCTCCTCTGATTCATGCCAAACAGATAAAAGAGTGAATGGAGTCACAGCATGTGAAACATAAGCATACAACAAAGCAACACCTGGAGATTAAAGCGTCCACCAGGGTAAACCTGGATATAAGACATTCATTTTCCAGGTAAAGTCTTCACCACAAGCCACAGACAGTGCCAATCTACTCTTGCAGTCCATGGCCCAACACCACCTGTCATAACTGAAGTCTCTGACTTCTCCTGCACCCATATAAAAACTTGGTTGTAAATGTTTTAAACAGGGGAGGGGAAAAAAAGAAGGAAAAGAAAAAAAAAAAAGAAAAAGACTCACCGAATTTGGGGAAATGCTTCCTGGTTGCAGACCCATGCATGCCAAGGTTTTAGCAAGCTCTGCTGAGTTCACCCCACAGTTTGGTGCAACGTTTGCTTGGCATCGGATGTGGACGTTCATTTTACAGACTGACAGGGGTGATCATAGAGATGGAAAGTAAGAGCAAAGGAACAATTAAAATAACTTGGAGGGATTTATGGTTGAGAAATAATTTAGCAATCCTGCTTCAGGAAACATATCCATCTGGATCTACCCTGTGTCTTTAAACTAAAAGGATTTTCTTCACTGATCTCAGCAGAAACAAAATTAGGACTCTCATAAGAGAATAAACTCCTGAAAATCAGGAATATACCCCAAAATCTCCAAGTACGATGCCACATTACCTGAAGCTATTCATAAGCATAAGTTTGTCAGGTATATAAATACCATTGCAGTTATGCCTGCAGGTAAAAATAGGATTTATAATGCCACAGAATTCACAACAAACTTCCACTGCATTTGCAGATATCTAATCTTAAAGATACATAGGTTCAGAGAGAAACTAAAATCTTTCTTCCTCTCACTTGCGGACACACATACACCCTCTTGTGGGAGATGAAGGCAAATGAAAGCTGGTTGTTACCCATACGATTTTACAGTCTGGATCACTGAAACAAAAACGTAACACCAGGACATGCTCTGTCATCAGTTAACAGCGTGACAGGGTAGTCAACCTAAAGCAATGACTTTTTTTTCCCCTCGGATGCCTTTTCATTGCCTTATCTCATCAGCTGAGGAAAAGCCTTCAGGTAAAGGGAAAAATGAATGCAGGAAGCAGTGATACCCAAGAATATTTTTAATAATGCCAGTTGAACAAAGCTGTGCTGAGAGTGCAAAGTAGAGTCCTTCTGGAAGCCTGAGATTAAAAAAGGAGATCAGTGTTTTTGTTAACTCTTGCAAAGATGAATATTCATTGCTTGGCTTTCTCGTGAAGGTTGCTCAAATCAAGCCCACACAGTGCATCAAGAGTCTAAAAATATATATAATTTTGAGAAAAGGCTACAGTAAGAAGCTGCTTACTTTTACACTGTAGGCCTTGTCGCATGATTCCCCAGAGCAAGGAACCGCAGTGGTCACAGAAAGTCGGGACTTTGTAGTTGTGGACGCTGAACTTATGAGGAATGTTGATTCCAAACCTCTGCTCAGTCACCTGAGGCACCAAAAGAAAAGCAGAGATTTAAAATTCAAATATATATATATATGCTGATGTTCATTTACACACAGGCATGTAAGTGCAAAACTATGAAAATAATTCCAACTCAGAAAATGTCCCAACCCACCACCTCACTGAGGTTTACTGCAAGTGAACACCGAGTGACCAGCCTCACCTGCTGCGAGCCTGCTCTGCTTTCCTTGCCGCTCAGGCTGGACCACCTGACAAAGCAGATTTTAAAAAGGGCTGCCTAGCCAATTTTAAATTCTTCAAACCAAGTTAGAGGCGTGGATTACCTCATCACAAACCTATCACACTGAAGTGCCACACAGCAGTTTGTAACTAACCAGTTTTCAAATTATTAACTTTCACACTATGTGCAAACATGTATCTTTAGGTCAAACTGTTGATTTTACTAAATTTAATATAGAATAGTTTTCCCAGCTCCTCCTAAAATTCTCATTCCTCTTCTCACCCTCCTTGTTATTAACAGTCTTTCATTCCAGGCCCACATTTCGCTTTATCACTTGCTCTCATCCCCTTTTTAACCTTGTTCTTTTCCAACTGTGAATTGTGCAGATCTCAAAAGATACCTTAGAAAATGTTACATTGGCTGAAGAAAACTATTCCCATTTAACATCTTTATTACTTTCCATTTTGTGTTTCAACATGCAGATCCTGGAAGACTGAGGGGCAAATTCACAAAGAAAAGCCAGGGGTGCAACTGGAACAGTGAGTTTAAAGCGAGCGGTGCCTCCTCATCTTCTGCTTCTGTTAAAGCAGCTTAGATGTGTTATAAACCCTTCACAATCCTAAAAGAGGGGTGAGGAGACTCACTATTTAACTTGCACCTTACCCTTAGGCATTTTAACTTATTTTCATCTGGCTTGGCAAGGGGTCATTTCAAGAAATCTAGCTCAGCAGTTTGGAGGCAAGAAATAATGAGCAAAGGCATTTGCTTATCTGCACTGGAAAGAAGGTTTCTGCATGGCACTCAATACAGAGCTACCTCCCGATTAAAAATATTTCAAGTGAATTTTCCTCAAACAGTTACTACACAATTTCCAGTTACAGAAATGAGACATGCAATGCACAGGGCAGTTTTAGGTGGGGATGTTACTCCTGTTAAATACAGCCAAAATTAGCAAGAAAGAAAACCTTCAAAAACACAAGTTATGTAAGGGGTTTTTATTACAACATAAAAAATTTCATAGAGTAAAGGTGTGGAGCAGTGACTAAATGGGCATTTTAAATTACCAGAAAAGAAAAAAAGAGGCATAACAAAGACCAGTGGTTAGATATTAAAGCCAGAGAAATCCACATTAAGAACTGGGCACCAAATTTTGATGACACCACAGTTAATCATGAAAGAAAATTACCAAGGAAAACAGTGGATTTGCTGTTTCTTGATGTCTTCCGATGAAGACAACATGCCTTCCTAAACTATGTGCTAGTCCAACCAGTTACTGGAATTAACAGAACAACCACCAGATGATATTACATGGCCTTTCTGCATGTCCCTATCACTCTTCCTCACGTTAAAAATCTATGAATAAAGATAATACTGAGTAAATTCTATTATAGAACAACCCCCAACAACCCAGAAAACCTCAGGATTCACAAATTACGATGACCCAAAATAACTAACATGACTTTACCTTGAGATCGGTCTTGTTAGTATTGTTTTGGCACGTGCAAGCTGTAACAATGAGATGATGGCAGCGCTTGTGTACAACACAGGTGCACACTAGGAAATAAAAGAGGCATGCTGAAAAGAGCTGTTGAAAGACTCAGAACACATTAACCCATCAGCTGAGTTCTTTAAGGCTCAGCTATATCATCAGGACACAGTAAAGATGTGAAAAACAATCAGTTGCTTGGAATTTCCAAAAATCTCATAACAGATCTGGAAACGCATCTCCAACCCATTGCAACAGAAATTCTGCACTGGATCATTCGTACAGCCTAAAAAACAGCTGCCTATATAAATATGGGTGATGCAAGCAGAAACAACAGTGTAACTTCTCAAATAAACTAAAAATGAACTAAAAAAAAAAAAAAGCTGTTCAAATAATTATCCAGTTTCACACAGCATACACAAACAACATTCAAGAAGTTACCAAAAGCCTACATCTCAGTGGCACAGTGCTGCTTACGCTGGATATCGAAGCGAGTCCTGCCCAGGTTACTTCGTCATTAAGGCTCAGTGCAATGTTTGGGTCCGGAAAGCTGGGTGACTACAGCAGAATGGTGCTGTGTCTAGACTAATTAGCTAGTTCCCATCAATAGGGCTAATCAGCCCTAAAGCAGACTTGGGATCTCTCCAGGTCTAAAGCTGGCTTGGCTGGAATGAACTGAGATTCCTCCAGTCCGTAACCCAGCAGGCACTATAATCACCACTAAGGGCCATAGCTACTGTCTGTGCAAGGAGGTTTTTGTAAGGGAAACTGCAAGTTACAGATCACAGAATGTTTTGGGTTGGAAGGGACCTCAAAGATCATCTAGTTCCAACCCCCCTGCCATGGGCAGGGACACCCTCCACTAGACCAGGTTGCCCAAAGCCCCATCCAACCTGGCCTTGAACACTTCCAGGGATGGGGCATCCACAATCTCTCTGGGCAACGTGTTGCAGATGTGTGGCAGTGTTCCATGCTATTCTGTTCGTTGCTGACTCACGCTTGCACTCATAAGGGTCTACCAACAACATCCACTTTTACCCAGAAATTTTATGCAGGATATCCATTTTGTTTATGTGTAGCTTCCTTTCATATGAGGATACCAGTGCCCTATTATACTGCACAAGAAACAGGCTGTGTTAGAAGGCTGTGCTGAATGACCATGCACCTGTGAGGCAAGTAATAAAATAATAAAAATTTAAAAAAAAAAAAATCTTACCATAGAAAAAGGGAAAGGAAGAACAATAATTAAGTGCAAACAAGCACCACATACATCTATACAGCCATTCGGCCAAAACATGCCTTCAGACAAAAGTGCTGTGCCAGCCCACGAGGTTGCGCTTTGAAGTCACATCCCTAGTTTCACTTTGTTGAACTACACAGGGAGAGAAAGGAAGAGGGTGGCCATTCCAGTAGGGTACTTTGTGGCCCAATATCAGCTGAAGACTGTCCTGAAGAGACCCTGGATCTCTCAAGCCTAGCCAGGTGTTGCATGTACTCAGCAACTCAATGGATCTGCACAGGAGGAAAAACACAGCATCCGGACCCCTAGGTGTTTGCGTGAATGTAGGTGGTTGCTCATGCGTGCATGCAAGCCGTCAGCCTGACGGCTGCTCAACTGCACAGTTTGGGGAGGAAGAGGAGTGGTGACTTCGGAGAAACTTGTAACCGCAGGATGTCCCAGCAGCACAGGAGAGCGCTCCTGAGACAGCACATCCTACACACACCCCATGCAGGAGCAGAGCACCTTACCTTGGCACTGGTATCCCTGCTTGCCAAACACGCCCCTGTTCGAAACAAAATATGAACATAATTTGACATCAGAAAGCCAGTCTTCTTGCAGATCATTTACAGAGGAGAGAACCAAAATGCCAGAAGATCCCGAATAACCAGATTCCTGGGGTAAAACTGCCCAGTAGTAACAGAGCAATTCAGCACAGGGGTGTGAGAGCGTAAGAAAGCACTACAAGAGCTGTAGCTCACAAGGCAGGCTGTCAACATGCATGTTTTTCCCCATATTCCCCCTCACTCTAGTTTCTGAAATACCTCACTTTATTACAACACACATCACACTTATTAGACTGATCCCAGCAGCCCACACCCTGTTATTATCTCTCCCACTCCATGCTCTTTTGAGACATATCTAAGTTTTTCTCCCTGCTCTGCCTACTCCCCCACACGTATCACCCCACACCTCACACCTCTGATGGCTTTTCTGTTCTCAGGAATTTTCTCTAGTCTTTCAAGTAACTTTTTTCTCAGTGTAATCTCAAAGCTCTGCTCAAGTTAGTATCTGGGGTTTTTCTTCACATTGCTTGGGTTACTTTTTTCCCCCCTGAAATAATATCTATGCTCACAAGTGAGGAACACTGCCCCATTCCCACACCCTGATGATTTGCTTCCAGCATCCAAGATACACATCACCTCCGGTTGCTCTGCCCCTGCAGTAGACTCGAGTTTGCACCATAAATGTACCCTGCTAAACCTGATGGCCAAGGGGAGTCACACCAATGGCCCTTGGTAAAGGGCTGGGTGACTGATTCAGGATCGGGGCTGTCCTGTTGGTCCCCAAAACACGAAGGGACAGGAAGCTGCACACCACCGCGTTCGAGCTGTCCTTACCAGATGAACTCCCTGCAGTGCGAGCAGTACGTAGGCTGTCGCAGGTAGGTAGCCATGAATTTGTGCCCGTTCACCTGATGCACTCGCCTTCTCATTGCCCGCTGGCGTTTCCGAGTCAGGTTCTTGAAAATTCGATCTCTCTGGAGGGTCCCTGTGCAGGGGGTAGGGGAAAAAAAAAAAAGCAACAAAACATTAACATTGCTATGCACAGTTATTACTCCTGTTTTTTGCTACGGCACAAAATGCTTTCAAAGGCCATAATTACATCCCTGAATTAGAAGTCGGGGCAGCACGGTCTAGAACGAGGACAGTATCTGAGACAGGCAAGGAAGTTAATTGCAAAGGCCCCTTTAGCTCAAAATTACATTCTTCATCTAGAAATAACTGCCTCTTCCCATCTTCCTCTCGCTCCTCTCCCATGCTGAGACATGTCACTAACCCATTAATTCACAAGCTACAAACAGACCAGAAGCTCAAGGCTAATGAGTGGTTATAATTCACAGCTTTTCGGGCAATAACTCCTGAAAACATGACTGCGTGCAACCAAATGACCAGCGCCCCGCTTGCTGAGCCAAAGCAGTGCCTTGCTTGATGAAGTGTGTTTATCCACCTTCCCTATTCTCACGCTACACTTCTGTATCACCATTCGTAGAGATTTTGTTTCCTGTACTGGATAAAAAGGCACGGCCTAATTTTTCAAGGACTGTTAGTTGTTTGATATGTGCCACTCTCAGCTTTCTTTAAAGGGCTCATTTTCCAAAGGGTAGATAATATTTTAAAGTTCTAGGAAGCAGAGACTTAAGAACTGCTGCCATTCAAATCTGAATTGCCTCAAAAAAAAATAATTTTTTTTTTTTTTTTACTGGGTTTAGTTCAGCCATATAACAATTTCCTAGCAAAGGTCAATTGACACAAAAAAGTCACTCTTAAAAGGCAGAACTGAGCTCTAGATCAAGAAAGCCATTTCCATGCAGCAGCAGCCATCTGACTTGCAAATCACAGCCAGCTGGTCTCTGGGATCCTTGCACAGGCCAGGTCAGACTCAGCTGAGCTTCCCAGATCAAAGCCTCATCTGGGGCACACTCGCCTCAGGAGAAAGAAATGAAATTTGCAGTTAAATTAGTTTCTTTGCAAAGTAAAGGCCCCGCTAACAAGTGCATTTTAGGGACGCGCGCTGCAGTCTGCTAGAGGTGATTGCGCACTGACGTACATACTCATTACTCATTCTGAGCGCGGACTGGATGCAAGACAAACACCGGCTATTGCCAAACCCTCTGCACAGATGTAATGGCACAGGAAGGGACAAGCGGTCTGCAACCTTCCCACCCACCTGATTGTCCTGGAGCGGCGGATCAGCAGCGGCACCCAAACACAGCTGTTACCGTGCCGCTTCTTTTACCCATAAAAAGGGGGCAGAGCATTTCCCTGCTTTCAACTCTCTTTGTTGATTAACCACTGAGGGGAGGGGAAAAAAAAGGGGGGAGGGGTTTTTTTTTGAGAGGGAAAGCTGTCAACCTGATCAAGGCTTGATATGTAAGAGTGCCACATCACAGGCACATTTCCCAGTCCTCTTTGTAGGAGTGGAGATAAGGGAAGCCATCCTGTCGGTACTGAACCCAGCCACTTCAAAGGGCCGCAAGCCGCACGATGTATTCCTCTCCGTACGCTTGCGACACAGGTTTAGAAGCAAAACAGGCCATAAAGCTCAAGGGGCTTTGTTTTCTGCTGAGTTCTCCCAGCCATTTGTGCATGCGACCCCTCCACAGGCACTAATGGAAACCTCCTACCTGATGGCATAACTGCAACATAGAGCATGGCTTGACTTTAAGACAGCTTGCATTTATTTTGAAAATGGAAGCACACGTTATAAATTAAGATTTTTCCATTAAACCACCAAAGAAAGGATGTGGTGGGGTGATCCAAGCACTCAACAGAAACCTGCTTTCTTCACTGCAGAGCTTCAAGCAGATGGGCAGAGAGACTGGCACAGAAAAGCCTGCCTTTCTAAGGAAGTGCTTAAATGTGTGTTTAATTCTCACTGAGGTCAACAGGATGCAGGGGACCACAGGAATTGCCAGACTTAATCAGAACATCGGTCCATCTAGTTCAGCATCCTGCCTCTGTCAGTGGGCAACCAGAAACACACGACAGCAAGATGGAGGAACCCTGCAGCTGGCAGATAATTTGCTTCTTTCCCACACATGAGATGTCATTTTGATCTCCAGAAGTGAGCGCTGATGTGCAGAGGTTTGATATGCCTTCCAAACACTAAATCATCACTGCATAATTTCAATAGCCTCGTTATCCACCATAGGAAACATGGCCAAGAAGAACTTCAAGAGGTCAACCAGCTAATCTGTTTTCTCCAAAAGAAAAATCAAGACCCAGTTGCTTTGCTGATCCCAAGCCTCCAGCAACTTCATATGAGAATTAAAAAATAAAAATTAAAAATTCCTTATAGTATTACAGAATTTGCCCACCTTTAAATTCAAGAGAACATCTCCTTGATCTAGGTTTAAGCATACGCTTAAGTGTTTTCCTGGATCAGGGCCAAACACCTCAACTGGCAAAGTATCCTGTCTTGGCATTCAGCACGTACAGGAGAACTTCCAAGGCATGGAAAGGGAAGAGCAGGGTTTGTGAGTGGGTGGCGAACACATAAGTAAATCACCTAAAGAAGCAATCCAGTTACCAGCTTGCTTCATACCAGCTGCTCCATTAGAGGCCCAGCAGCTGATGCCCTTTAAGTTCATGCACTCACAGTCACCAGAGTTTAAGAGAATATATTCCCAATTTAGCTCATGCAGTTTCTGGTTTTGTTATGGTTCCCCTCAAGGGTCAGCACAGGGTAATTGCCTCCCGGGTGCTCTCCCATGCAGCGAGAAGCCCACACGCAGACAAGAGCAAACCAGTCCTTTGCACCAGAAATAGGGGACACTTGAAGGTGGCCCACAAAGCCACCAAGCAGGACACTGCTGTGCATCCCTCTGTGATTTGCCCACCAAGCAGGACACTGCTGTGCATCCCTCTGTGATTTGCCCACCTTCAGAGAGACTACAATTTCGAAACCATTCAGGGAGAGCGAAAAATTACAGGCACTCGCTTTTTCATGGGCGGTAGAGGATTTCTCCATACTGCCTGCACTGGTGGATCACATTTATGGCCAGCCTTGAGCCTTCTCCTCTGAGCTGTACTTGGCCTCCATCTCCTGTTCTCCAGCCACCAACAGCTCACACAGCACAACAGCTTCCATCTCACAGACCCAGTTTTCATTAAAACACATGCCATAAGTTTTTTGTCTTTTTTTATTTCTTCTTTCTAAAGGCATAATTCGTATTTAAAATATTCCTCAAATTTCACACTTTCCCACACTACTTGGCTGCGTTAACCCTGCTAACTTTCTCCAGATGCTGCACATCTTCCAGGTGATCCTCACCCATGGTCACATTCACCTCACATTACATTATAACAAACCTAAGCGTTACTAAGCAGGAGACTGACTTCAGCAAGGCCTGGATTGCTTTTCATACGCAATCAGCTCTTTTGGGCGCTGCTCTTCCCATTTCCTGATGCTGTCTTGAGTGAAAAGGAGAGGGAGAGCACAGCATGACTTCAGCCACACCTCGGTCCCAGGCATAGCTGCAGGAGACCATCCGCTGCATGATCTAGTGGATCTACATACACAACCCACATCCCGTAGAATAAATCCCTCTTTCAGCAGGCTTGGGCGCTCACCCATCCCAGGCACCACACCACAAAGCTGGCAAGTTCAACCCTCCAACAAGGCATGAGTGATTTTGAAATGGTGGAACATATGGCTACCGAAACCACCTTCCCCCTAACGACCAGTGTCCCCAACCACCAAGATGGCAGCTCCTCAGCTCACACTCATCACATTTGCCGAACAGCTGCGTGTTGCATGCAAAAACCATCAATGTGGCGCTGAAGTCCACCAGTGGATAGGGTGGCCAATGCAGCAGACCCATGTGCCTCTCACCTGTAGTGTCAGAGGATGTAAAGCCATCACAGACATTTTACTGCTCATGTTCTGCGTTCTGGCCAGTTTCCTATAGAATACATATTTTCCTTCTGCATGCAGAGAGCATGTTACAAAACAAAGCAGCTCTAGACCACTTTAGGAGACCCAGACTTTTAAAAACCTCTAATCTCTGGTAAAGCAACAACCACCATGAATGGTTCAAATGTCCAAATACCGCTATAAAAACAGGCAAGTAATTGCTTAGTGAAGGGAGTTGTCCACATCCATGGTTAAATTTGGAAATCTGTAACTATGGGGTATTTACTGTGCCTGGCTATGTGCAAAAGTAACTACAAAGTTAAATACTAAAAAGCCTCTTCCCCTTTCCTCCTCTCCACTCATGCCTAACACATGTTTACAGTGGTGGAAATTATGCACGTGGAGGGAGAGGAGAATAAATAACCCACCAAGTCATCCGAGGACATTGCATGCCACTAGCACACCACTCAGCAGCCTCATTACGCTGCCCTACCTGCCCCGTGAGCTTACCTGATCCTGCCCTTTCCGGCCAGAGATCGCCCCTGTCTTTCCCCCTCATTTTTTATTCCTGGGGGTTATTTCAGGTATGTCCTTACAGTGGTGGCATAACTACAGCAGTAAGACAAGAGGAAGAGCTGCAGGATGAAGTGTTGTTTGTGTAACTATTTGTCTCAAGTAGTTAAAGCCTGTCAGGTCTCATCTATCGGAAATCAATCTCACCATCATGCTGTCAACCACTGCCATAACGTCGGCACAGCGAAGGTCATTCGGGTACATCCTGATACACGGCAATTTCTAGTGTTATACTCCCATACACATCGATGGGATTTTTCTTTGAAAGAAATAAAGATATTCAAAAAAAAGCAATGTAAAAAACCTTGGAGCAATAATGCTAATGGATTAAAACATAATTAAGCCTTTTTTATTATTACCAGTAACAGTATACACGTTAACCTGTGCTCCCCGGGAGCACTGCAAACAAGATCCCATTGCACTGAGTGACACATGAGCGCAGAGCAGAGACCAACCACTGAACTTAATCGACTGTAAAAAGCAAGACAGCGGATTGACAGACCCCTCACCTCTCGCAAGCGCTGCAGCACTGAACAACTATTTCAGATCAGGCTAAACAC